GTCAGCATACCACTCCACACCCCACCCTTCTGAATCTTCTAAATCTTCTAAATCTTCCTGGTAAACTTGAGGTCCACTACTCCTCACTTGTGCGTACCTTTAAGATGTATTTTTTTTCTTCATTTCTGTTACTTCTTTCCTTTTCCCTTTATCCCTGCTATTTATTTTACCTGTTCTAATTATATGTGCAGGTCACTGTTAGGTACTGTCTCCTGGACCTCTGCCTCATGTCCTTCCTGGGAAGAATATTAACTCTGTTCATTCTGGTTTCATTGAAAGAAGAAAATACAGTTAAGGAAGAGACTAGAAGAAAAGCTTGATTTAGGTTATGAGGCATAAGTATCAGAATCAAATGAATTTTCAACCTTGGTTTAAGAGTGGGTAGCAGGAGAATGATTAAAGGAGGCACAAATTTTATGTGTAGTATTGTTGAAGGTCAATTTTAGTCGAATATTTCACTATGGAAATAATGAGATGCTATCGCTGCAGCATCAGTGTTCGTGGAAACTGAATGTTTGTTCTTTCAGTAATCCCCTCTTAGAAGAGCAGACAGTTGTAGGGAATGCTGTAGCAGCTGCAATGCTGAGGATTCCCTGATACTGAGGAATGAATGGGCTGTCAGTGACTTCTAGCACAGCATTGGGAAAACCTCGGGCAGGCAGCTGAGGGTGGGCAGCCATTCCTCTGTTGGCACCAGTGTCTCACAGGACATCACGATGCTTCCAGGAAAGCACAGATGAACTGTCTGGCCTACCCTCGTAGACACCTTGTTTAATTCCTGGGCTCCATCTGCTGGACTCTGGCAGGTCAAGAGTCTAGTTAGTTATAGCAGTAGTTCACACTGAGACCCGGAGGCTCTGTTGGAGGAACACAGACCTTCTCAGATTTTCAGCAGCTTACAGTGTGCACTTGGTTATCACTGAGAAGTTTAAACACTTCACTAGAAGAGTTTCAACAAGGAGAGGCTGTAGTGTCTGATGTATTGGCTTAGAGGGAGTGCTGTCTTGCTACAGAAGGGCAAAACGTTAAAGGTACAGGAGTTCTCCATTCTTTTACTCAGCATTTTTTTTCAGTGCACTTATGAATCAGGAATCGTGTCAGATTCTGACAACAAAACCTCTTAGCTCCCGTGTTAGTAATGGGTCAGCCTTTGGTGGCCGGTCATATATTGAGTGCACCACTGATTAGCAGTTTAGACTTTTTTAGGTAGTTAACCTAGCCATATAACAGTGCAGTCTTGCAACATTTCCTGATTTAAAAAAAAGGATAAGGGGAAGTAAAGTTCTTGTTTATTCTCTGTTGCTTTAGAAATGATTTGTCTTTAAGTCTAGATGGACTAGCTTGTTTTTACAAATGTCATTAGTCAGCAATCACATTACATTTTAATGATCCACATGCTAGTCATCACCCCAAAAGACAATTGTTTTCTGAAAGAAATTCAGTCTATTGCAGTAGTAAAACAGATTTTATGTGTTGAAAACTTTCTCTGGGATAGAATTTGTGGAGTTCTAATCCTGCTTTTTTTCTCTTTGCCCCAAACATTAATGCTTTATGTTTATTTAATGTTTATTTGGGGAATAAACAGAAAATTCCCTCAGCAATCCCATGGAACACATACTCATAAGGATTGCAGGAGGAGGGTGTGTTAGAACTCTCCTGCTGAGTGCTTCCTATCCGTAAAATGGCAAGTCACTGTTGGCCAGAAGGACCAAGGGGATGCACTGCAAGAGCCGTGAATGTGCGTTCCAGATTGCCTCTGGTTTTTTATTTTTTTTTAATCTTTTTAAAATTTTTATTTTAAAGAGCATAGTAAATGAGAAACAAACAACAAAAAATAGAACAGTAGCAGCATACTAGTATCACAAACATAAATCAAAGCAAGAACATTTAAAGTGATAACAGGGTTTCAAGACAAAATAATATGAATTAACAGTGGTTGTTATATTACATGTTGCTATCCTCAGCTACTGTCGGATTATCTATCCATCCCTGTCCAGGGTAATCAGGTCCCCAGAACGAGGTGCCCACAGATGTATCAATCCCTTCCTCCTAAGAACAACTCCAGACCCATATATCTGAGCTCAGGGGGCTAGTCACCTTCCGGACTCAAGCCCCGACCGCCATCTCCAGGAACCTTTCATTCAGCGAGAACAAAGGAGGCAGCCCCGGAATTGGGGTGATCTCAACCCTTTTGCAAGGCCAATATAACTCCATTATCATAGGAATGAGACTTGACCAGCAAACCATCATGTTATCTTCCTTAGGGCATAGCTCAGAAAAGCATCTAGTGTTGTCCCCGGGCCAACAATGCTTTTGCTAGACTTCCTCCAGAACCCAACAACCAGGGCTTGGTCAGGCCTGAGGCAATACATCTAGAGAATGTCCTCTCCACAAACTAATTTACAGTTAAACTGTAACACATTTAAACACTGTAAACTAAATTTACAGGATTTACAGTTAAAATGCCTAAGAAGCTTGGATGGTGGCACTCCGTCCCTTCCTTGGGCCTTTTAGAGTATATTTTGATAAATCATGGGATATGTGTCAGTAGCTGTATTTGCCTCTTGCCTTTGCTTTTCTTTTTTGACATTCGATTTTGTGCCCTGTTAGGGTTTTTTTAACAGCCTCCGAACTGAACTTGTCGAATATCCAGGCATAGCAGTTTCTAACATTTGCCCAGGACCTGTGCAGTCACAGATTGTGAACAACGCCCTAGGTGAAGAAGTTACAAAGGTAAAAGTTTCCAACTGGGGACTCATTCAAATGATTTACTACTTATATGTTAATATTCTATCAATATATATCAGGGATTTTAAGTCAGAACTGTTTATGAATTACTCATAACACTTAACTCATGGCATTATGAAATTTGTTAAAGTTGGCTGGCCGTGCTTTGGCCCTGAGTTTTAATAAAGACTAATGCCGTGTCCACTATTGTGTAATGGTTTTTTCACTATTAAGAAACTCCTTTGATCTCTTTCCATTCCTCCTCATCTTCACGTTTATAGGATTTCATTTGCTAAATGCATGTCTCAATAGTAATTTGGTTTTTATCACTACAGTGATTAAAATGAGTGTTATATACTCATTAATGGTGCAATTGTAATTAAAAGCAAACTTCTTTTAGTGACCTATACTACCTTATCGGGTATTCCCATGATTCATGTTAGGCTTCCTGAACATTAGGAAAGTTTACAAGCATCCATCAGTATGTACAGGAACATCCACAGGGCATGAGGGCACACAACTAGATGGCTTTGGGGTCTTTTCTAACTTAGAAGTTTTGTAACCAGCTTGGATACTCAGCATTCACTTCATTTTCCATCTTTTCTTAGGCTGTGGGCAATGGTGGAGACCAGTCGTACAAGATGGCAACTAGTCGTTGTGTGCGGCTGATGTTAGTCACCATGGCCAATGATTTGAAAGAGGTCTGGATTGGAGATCAACCGTTTTTGTTGGTAGTGTATTTGTGGCAATATATGCCAACCTGGGCCTGGTGGATAACCAACAAGTTAGGAAAGAAAAGGATTGAAAACTTCAAGAGCGGTGTGGTAAGAGCAATTTATATATTTCTTAGTTTCAATTGTAAAGTATAAAATCTTAGTATCAGTTTTAAAGTATAAAATCTTATACTGCCTAAAACACTTCCTTCCTGATTCTCCGTCAGTCGCATGATATAAAAAGTATTCTACCCTCATATGTACCTGATAGGTTACTGTAACTTATCACTAGTCTCGGAGAACTTTTCATCTGAAAGGTTGCCATTTATTCTCTTCCACCTAGTCTTTGACCAGTACATGTGCCGCAACAGTGCTCTTTCCCCGTAGCTTCTCCTTCCAACCCCTGCCGTCCTACCAGTCTCAGTTCAGGTGTCACTGCTTTCCTCTCACTTCTGCCCAGGACTGGGTGCACCTCAGCCCTGTGTGTTCTTCCTCCCGGCGTTGAGTGTTCTGTTCAGTCAGGCACACGCACTTGGTGTGCTTCCAGTGCCCATTACCTCCTTTCCAAAGTACTCTGCACATCACAGAGGCCCCTGTGCTGAACTCTAAGGGGAAAGGATGATCACTTCTTCATCTAGCTTTCATTTTTATCGCAATTAGTGACCAAGATTGTCAACTGTTTCTGAGAAAATGATGACCAGAAAGTTTAACCTATACATAACATGGCAAATGTAATGCATTCATCCCCAAATTATAAAATCTGATTATGCAAAGAAAGGGTATTACTTTGAATGGTTTTTATTAGTAAAGTTGTTTCTTTCATATACTTTGTTACTACTGTCTTTCATAACTCAGCAAATGTGGCTCATATATGAAAAAGAGAGGCATGAAAAAGGACCGTACTATGTTGTCATTATGTCATCTACTGTTGTTTAAGCAATCCACTTTAATGTCTAATCCATTTGTTAGACATTTAATTTCTTCCAACTTTTTGCAACACAGTGAAAATGAATTATCAGGGTAAAAGCAAAAAACAACAAATCCTTAGAGATTAAAAGATTCTAAAAGCAGGTCTTGTCAAACACTTGAGCACACAGGACAAGGACTGATGATTCATGTTCCCGTCACTCTTACAGGATGCGGACTCCTCTTATTTTAAATTCCTGAAGAAAAAACATGACTGAATGGAACACTTGCAATTTCTCAGCTACTTGAGGGAGAAGTGAAAAACAACCACAGCAACCTGCTTATATTTTTCAATACAACTTTACTTTCAGCATGTAATGAATAATAAACATTGCCATGAATCTTATATTAATACATACTATGTTCTTGAATAAAAAAGGTTAAAAAATATTTAAGAGTATGTGCTTATAATCTAGGTTAACGTACCTAATCAAGGAATTACACTCTTCTTTGTAACATATGTCTTAGTCTGTTGTGTGTCTATACCAAAGTATCACAGACTGGATGATTTATAAACCACAGAACATTTTTTCTCACAGTTCTGGAACCTTTGAAGTCCAAGATCCAGGCCCCAGCAGAGTAGGTGTTTGCTGAGGGCTAATCTCTGTCTCTCAGGTGCACCTTGTTGCTGTGCTCTCCGGATGGAAGCAACACTGTTTCTACAGGGTGGAATGGGTTGTAGGGTGGGTTGACCAACCCTTTTATAAAGGCAGTGAATCTCTTTCATAACTCTGTTGCCTCCTAAAGCCGTGTTTTTCTTGTTTTTTTTTTTTTTTTTGGCTTCTTGAGGCAGGGTGTTGCTATGTATTTCAGGCTGGCTTTGAACTCACTTGATAACCCAGATTGGCCTTGACCTCAAGGTGATCCTCCTGTCTCAGCCTCCCAAGTCCTAGAATTACAGGCATGTGCCACCATACTCAGCCTAAGGTTATGCCTCTTACTGCTGCTGCATGAGGGTTAAATTTCAATTTTGTGGGAACAGAAACATTCACACACTAGCCACATAACTAGCATAGGTTGCTTGGGGGTGGGGTGAATAACTGCATGGAATTTCACACATCGCAGAGTGCTGGATAAGGAGCAATTTTAAAAGAAGGGTTGGGAATTGCCCTACCTCCAAACTACTCAGAAATGTGGACTGCTTTAAGTGCCTGAAATCTGAAGCAGTAAGTGGGACTCAGACTTATCATTCGTTACACACCTGCCGTATGGCCTTTGCTGTCCTGGCTGCTTAGTATTATTTAACTCCCTTAGTCCTCGTAGCAGCACCCAAGGTAGGTGGTGTTATCTACCTTTATAGATGAAGCAAGAGATGCCCAAGCGACTAAGTGCAACTTGCAAGGTCTCAGAGCTTGTAAGAGGAAGATTAAGGATTCAACTCAACTCAGGCAAACTGCACTGACAACTCCTCCCTGCCGTGATAAATCATTCTCTACTACTCAGTGTCTTGCAGCAGAAACGATGTCTAAGCCATAAGGGGAAGTCAACAGGAGTAATGGACACCAATTCACACAGCCCACAGCTTGGCTGCAGCCTAAGTAACGTACAGGAAGTAACTTAGAAGAGTTGTTGGACACAGAGGCGGTCACTCCAGTACTGTCCCTTGCAAAGGAGGAAGTCGTGATGAAGCTACACCGTGAGGTGCACCAGGTAAAAGCAGTGGAATAATATACACACATGGCCATATCCTAGAAGCATGAGCTACAAGATAATACTATTTACGTGTACTTCAGTATACGCGCCTAGAAGGTAGCCTCATTTAGCAAGAAAACATGAGTGAAGACACCCTTGAGAGGTATTGCGGTGGTATTCTAATGTTTGCTTGGGGAGGAAGAGAACGGGGGTACGCTATGCAGATGGGGTGTAATAAGATGGCACTTGCATAACCAGTGGTGGAAATGAAAGTTGAGATTTACTATAAAAACAAACAGAACATTGTACAAACAAAACAAAAAATTGTAACAGCAAAAACATTGGAATAATTTTCAAATGGTACAAAAAACTACGTTATGTGGCTTGTTACAAACAGAGAATAATGTGGAAGCCCTTTGTGGAGAAGGCATGATTGCAAGTGGGCTCAAATAAAAGAACTGAGACAGATGAAGAGGAGCTTTTGAAAGTCAGGGAACTGGTGAGTTTTGCTTTACTTGTCATTGCATCCCCCATGCTCGCCTGGCATTGCTCCTGCTGGTGTTACGGTTTCTTGAAAAGATGTAGGGGAGACATTCCTTGCTTCCAGAATATAATGAATTAATAACAAGAGACTGACTGGTACAGGGATGAGAGGAAAAAGCAGTGAGATCATTTTGCTCACCTACTCTTTCAGTGCAGGGTTTTTTTTTTTTTTTTTTTTTTTTTGGTTTTTCTCCAGTACCGGGAACCGAACTCACGACCTTGTGCTTGCCAGACAGGCGCTTCTGCCGCTGAGCTAAATCCCCAGCCCTCAGTGCAGGGTTTAAGCGAGTGACTGTTACAAATTAAAATGACATGTTTATGACATGCCATTTTTATGGCATGCAGTAATTCGAAAAATACTAGAGGAAAATACCATACATACCCTTTCTGTCTTGGGCTTTTGACCAAGATTGAAAAGGCAGTGTACCTTGTCGTAGGTAGTCAAGAACTGTAGAGGCAAGTGGTCACATACTTTTAAAAATGTGGCTTCTGTACTGACCCATTTCCCAATCAGTATCTTGAATGACACTTTCCAATACAAAAGAAACTGTTCATTGGACAGTGTGAAGGGAGGCGTAGTGGGTTTGTGTGGATGACAGTTGGTGAGTGGGTACTTATGCCGGGGAGGGCGGGGGAAGCAGTAGCTTTAGGATGTTTTCCCAGCACTGTGCACCTGCAGCCTGAGACCACAGTCACTTGTCATGTAAATTGAACGGATAATTTCCAAGTATTTCCAACACCTTCCCTGGGGACAACTGATAGACCCGAACTGTTAGCTAAAGTGTACACTTGGCAAGAGTTGACACATTTGTGAAACTGACACACTTGTGAAGCTATAACCAAAATTAAGAGGTCTCTCAATTGCATTCTGTTTGGATCTTGGCAATATACTTACTCCTCATCGTTTGGCTCTTGGATGCCTTTAAGGAGATCTAAGAATACTTTCTGTCCAGCTCTTCCACTTGTTGATGGGATGATCGATGTGAATTACCTACACATTCACTACTAAAATTTGGAAGAAAAGTGAGTTTTAGAGGAAATTCATAAAATCGAGTTTTAATGTATCAGGTAGAGATGTCAAAGAAGATATAAAGGTTCAGTGTTGGAACAGCATTTGGGTTAGGTAAAATATTTGCGTATCATCAATTAGTAACAGTTGAAGTTTTAGGAGCAGCTAAACATGTCTATGGTGAACACAATAAAAAGAGCAGGCCTAGAACTAACTGGTGAGAAATTCCAAAGTGTATAGAGCAAGTGTAAGAGGAAAATGGTAAAGGAGATTGAGTAGTAGCCAGGAAGAGAGAAAGAAATCATTGTGGTGCCAGAAAAGTCCAGAAGAAAACTCCAAAGGTGATTCGGGAAGGGGCGCTCAAAGGGGTGGAAGGCTACAAGAACACAAGGAAGACGAGCACATAAAATAGCCAGCTGATTTGAAAATAGTGACCTTCACAAAGTTTTTTTAATCTGGGGAGCAATGGAGATGGATCCAGACTGCAGTGGTTTGACAAATGAATGAAAGAGGAAACCTGGCCATGAGTGACATGGAGAAATACCGGACCAGTTGACACAGGTGAAAGGTAAAAGGTCAATGGAAGCTATGACTTGGTATATTATTAGGAATTTTTTTCCTGGTACTGGGGATTGAACCCAGAGCCTTCACAATGATCTACATCCTCAACCCTTTTTATTTTTAATTTTAAAACAGGGTCTCACTAAAGTTGCCCAAGGTAGGCTCAAACTTGTGATCTTCCTTCTCCAGCCTCGGTATTGTGATTACAGGCAGCTATGGCTTGGCATTACTCTACTATCAAGCAACTTAAAATTCCTGTTATGGGGGGGGTAAATTTTGCCAGTCAATGGAATGTCATACAATCATTAAAAGTGGTCAAAGAATTTTTAAGGACACGGGAATATTTTCCTAGGTAAGTAAAAGAATGAAAAATTCTCCAGCTAGTAATTAATAAGCCTGAGATCTGAACTCAGTTAATATGTCACTATCTTAATAACTATACTATCTTGCCTGCCTCCCAAAAGATTAACTCACAAGTCTCATGAATTCATTAACTAAAAATTAGTCAAAAAATTAATTCTTTAATATCGCCAAAGTGAACTGGTCTACATACTAAAGGAACCCCAACTAATACATTTAAAATAATTTCAATCATTTCTAATGACAGTGCATCACTCTATAACCAATCTAGCAGGATCCTATAGATTTCATGGAAATTAAGGAGTAAATTCATGTCGCAACTGACGCAGCTTCACTGTTCATGCCCCTGTTAAGTACATATAAAATATTCCTAAACACAAAGAGAATGAAAATAAAATTCTGGTCACATTTTAAGAATTTTTTTAATCTCCTAACTCTAGTCTATGTATCTTAAGATACTACTAACTTATAGTCCTATGAGATAAGTCACTCCTTGGTAACTTCCACTGAAAAGAAAGGCTTTAGGACAGTGATGGCGAACCTTCTGGAGACAAGTGCCCAAACTGCAACCCAAAACCCACTTACTTATTGCAAATTGCCAACAATGCAATTAAACCTGAATACAGAGGTTTTAGTTCGAAAAAAAAAATTCATACATTAACATCTTTTGTCTTAAAAGAAAAACAGCAACAGAGTTTTCAATGATATAAATAGCTTATTATTAAAAGGTAAGTTTCCATTTGGCATGCAATTTGGCATGCACAATTAATGTGATCTTGATGTTGTATGCATGCTGATAATTTGTCAAACCTTGGCTGGAGCAACTTGGCTCCCTTGTTGAGAGAGCGAGCTCTCACGTACACCATAGATTCACCATCACTGGCCTAAGGCATCAGCTGTCTGAAAGGCTGTGTAGGAGTCATAAGCAGATTACCTTAATCTAGTTCTGCCTGCAAATATTCGCATGATAAGTGGAATAAACCCTGTTTGTTTCACATCAAAAGGATATTTGGAAAAGAGGGGTAAGAGTTTTTTGGAGAGATTTTATAAAATTCTGTAAGGTTTCTGAACTGAGGTATATGACAAAAACGAACACATTATATGAAGACATACACAGTATGTTAAATGTTAAAGCTAAAACAGTATAACACTTGAAAATACTATAAAAATTAATTTTATTTCAAATAAATAAACATTATACTAACTTTTGAAAATATCCATTATCATTCATTAAAATGCTGACAAATATTAGTTATGTACAAATTGCACATGTGTTGATTTTTAAGGTGAGTAATCTACCAAATATTTTACAAAGCATTAAAAAGTTGCTAACAAATGTTTTATTGTATCTACCAAAGCCTACCATGATCCATAGGGCACAAATATTGGCCAATTAATTCCAACTTTGATGTTCAGCATGAAGCTGACTTTGGTTTTGGGCTAAGAAAACCTATTTCATGGAAGTCAGATTTTGCTCAGGCATTCCCATGATATGAAAATGCCCAGGAAGCTTTAAGAGTTACACTGTTCCTTTTCTGGTGACAGCTCCTGGATGGTATCACAATCACAATGGGCTCCAACACCAGCGGACAGAGAGAGGTTCTGAAGAGTAGATCGGATATCCCAGGGGAGGCTCAGCAGCCTGCACTGTAAGGTTTCTTAAAAGTAGTGGATGAGCTTGGATGCTATACCGCTCCTCGTCGTCATTTGTGGCATAAAGCAGTTCCCAGGAGAGATTGGCCCACTGCCCTCTAACGGCTTCAGCATTTAACTTCCCAACTTGGATCAATACTTCCTGCAGGGTCAGCACTCGCCCAGTGTAGACTCCCTTTCAAATATAAAAGTGGGAGGGTGAGAGATAGCATTCTGGCCTTTATACACTTATTTATAAACTCAGAGAAACATCACAGCTGGGCAAACTTTCTCCCAAGTTCAAAAAGACATAAAATGCTGTTTTAAAATGTTCACACGAAGAGCCGCTGATTTTTGGAATCAGGCACTGCCTCTATTAGCATTTTGAGTAAGGGTAAGAAAAATTTCCTGACACCTGTTTCACTTAATCACCAAGACAAAATCACAGCTCCTTCCCTTTGTTTTCCTTCTCTGGTCCCTCAATCCACCTAGCCTCAACAGTGCTTCTGAGGTATGCGCGAGGCCGTGGATGTTCATGTGATGGACTCCTTTTCAAAAGTGGCTTTATTGAGATTCACTTCACATTCTCCCCCATTTGCTCCTTTAATGTATAAAATTCAGTGATTTTAGTATATTCACAGGCAAGTGTCACCATCACGATGCTGAATTTTAGAACATTTTCATGACTTCAGAAAGAAACCCTGCCCCTCTTGTCTCATTCTCCCTGCCCTATATAAGCAAATGCAATTTCTATCTGTATAGATTTGCCTAGGCTGGAAATGTCATGTGAATTAATCATGCGACACGTGTGGTTCTGACTTTGTTCTCACACTTAGCATATTTTCAATGTTCACGTATGTTGTAGCCTGAATCAGTACTATGTCCCTTTTCATAGCTGAATGTTTCACTGTATGGATATACTGTGGCTTGTTTATACACTTATCAGCTGACGTATCAGATCACTTCTATCTGTTAGCAATTACGTTCACAGCATAAATGCTATGAACATCCATACACATTTTTATGTTGATCTTTTTCCTCTGTTATACACTTAGAAGTACAACTGCTATGTTGTACAGTAATTCTATACTTAACTATTAGAAAAACTGCCAGAATCTTTTCCATTTTCCATTTCCAAAAGCAGTGTGTGGAGGGCTTTAATTTTTCTACAACCTTGTCATGACTTGTTACGACCTGAGTATTAGCCATCTTAGTGTACATAAAGTGATAGACTGTAGTTTTGGTTGCATTTCCCTGATGATTCGTGATGCAGAACATTTTTTCATGTGTTCACCTGCCATCATCATAGCTTTAGGGAAATATCTACACAGATCCTTTACCTATTTTTAATCTGCACTGCCTCCTTACTATAGAACAGAAGAATTCTTCACATATTCTATGAACAAGTCCTTTATCAGATTCAGATATGTCTAATTATTTTTCCCCTTCAGAGTATTTTTACATTGTGACAGTGTTCTCTGATGCACAATTTTTACTTTTGACGGTGTATTTCTTTTTTGTTTCTCATGCTTTTGATGTCAATCTCAGAATCTACTGTTAAGTTCAAGGTCATGAAAATTTACTCTTATGTTTTCTCTTAAGATTTTTATGCCTTTAGCTCTAACCTAAAGGTTGTGATGCTTTTTTTTTTTTTTTCCTTTTTTGGTGTTGGGAATCAAACTCAGGACCTTGTGCTTGCCAGGCAGGCACTTGTGCCACTGAGCTATATCCCTGGCCCCTGTGATGCATTTTAAAGTTAATATTTTTTAATATGGTGTAAAGTAAGGTCTTGAGTGGGGTGAACAGCATCTTCAAAGAAGTCCTAAGCAACGGTACCTTTGAGTGTGGCCTTACTTGGTATGGATACTTTACAGATAGGATTAAGACTCTCAAAATGAGATCACTGTGGATTTAGCTGGGTCTACAAGCCAAAGAAGGTGTCTTAGTAGAAGAGTGGAACAGGAGAACTGCCACAGGATACAGGGAAGAGGGTCACAGGAAGATGGAGAGAAAGACTAGAGCTATGTGGCCACATGCCCAGGAAGGCTAGAAGGAAGGGGCAAGGAAAAACACTGGGGTTGTTTACGCCATTACCACTTAATATTATTCATGATACAGCTGGTTCTTGTCAGTTCCCCTTTTGTCTTCTATACTGCATGGCTTTGTGTGTATGTGTGTGTACGTATCTCTATTTGTCCCTATTTTCTTTTACATCAAGTAAATATTTTTAAGCTGGCACTTTAATGTCTTTATGGATTTTTCACCTCCTTTTCCCAGTCAGTTGTTGCCTACAGTTTGCCATGTGTCTTATTAGAGCTTTCGATGTACACCAACTCCCACTGAGACATAAAAATGCTACTTTTGTATAACTGTATTCACTTTTTCCTCTTTTTGTGATTTTATGGTTATAATATTACATCTGTAAATGACATCAAAATACAGTAATGCATTGTTATAATTATTACATAATTGCAGTACGCACTGTGGCAGCACATCTACTTTACATAATTGTGTATCTTTTAAAGAACTTGAGAGAAAAGGGAGCACCTGTATATTTGTTGGTTTTGCGATTTCTAACTTATAATTCATTTCTTTTATTCTTGTAGATGCAGGTTATCATTTAGAATCATTTCCTTTGTCCCTGTTGATATCCTTTGTACAATTATTGGCAAGTATATTGCATTTCTGTACATTGCCTATTGCTTTATAAAATTCTTTTCAACTCTGAAAAAGACATATGCATTTATACTGTTTTTAAAAATTACATAGTTACCAAAGAAGGTGGTTTTTTTTTGTGTGTGTGTAGGGGGGACAGTCCATTACTGTCTGGGATCACATGCATTCAGCCAGAAAATTTCTTGAGTATTCTCAAGGGGCAGGACAGTAAGCAACAAATTCTCCATTTTTCTTTACCTGGGAATGTCCCCTTAATACTTCCATTTTTGAAAAATTTCTTTGTGGCACTCTTAGGTAATAGTTTTTCTAGGCTTTCCTTAAAATTTACATGCCATTTTAACGTTCTGCCTGGTTTCTGGCTTCCAGCATTTTATCAAGATGTGTGTGTTTGTGGATCTCTTCGTTTTTACCCTAAAGGTCACTGAGCTTCCTGGTTGTGTAATGTTTCTCGGTAACTTTGTGAAATTTTCAGACAATACTTTTTTTCTTCTTTCTCTTTCTCCTGTCTCCTAGCACCATCATTTATAGGTTGTGACATTAATGTTGTTCCACATTTCTTTGAAGCTCTCTTTCTTTTCTTCGTTTTTCTCTCTCCTTTCTTTGGATTGCGTAGTCACTACTGATCTAAAATCTTCAAATTCACGGATTCAGCTGCCAGTTCCAATCTGTTCAACCTCATTTTTATAATTTATAATTTCTCTACTGACATGTTCTACTGGATGTGAACTTGTTATCAGAATTTATTGCCTTAATTATGGTTTCTCTGGGTGATGTGAACATCCTCCTTTACTTTGAAATGTTTTTACAACTGACATCTGCTTGCTCTCACAGGCAGTTTCTGTTAACTGCTATTTTCTCCTCGTGTGTGGATTCAACTTTTCTGTGTTATCTCTTGCAATTCTTTATTGACAACTAGATGTTATAAATGGCATTGTAGAAACTGGGTACTGCTTCTTGACCCCTTACTCCCTGGGCACGTTACTGATATTCAGTTGTTTATTTAGTGAATGGTTTGATTAATCCAAGTAAACATAAATCCCTACCTTACCTACCCTCTCCTTCTCCCTCATTTGAAATCCCAGATACTGCTTTGCTGCAAGTGCAGCCCCAACAGAAAACTCACCGTTCCCTTAGCAGGGCAATAGTTCTGATAGGTATGGTATAGATCTAGAGAGTATCCCCCAAGCCTCATTTAGAAGGCGGTAAGACCATGGCAGCAGTAAAGCTCACTTACTTTTAGGAGGTGGGGGTGGTTGGAGGTGAGAAGCTGCCCTCCGCCCGGGCCTTCCACTATATTGTGTCTGCATTGGAGCCACCTGACAACGGGCTGAAAACACAAGCCAAAATACATCTCTCCTCCTTTAAGTTGTGAGCACTGGGTATTAGAGACTAAAACCTCCAGGCACTCTCTGGCAAGTTCCCACCGCTTGCCAATATTATTTTCAACAAGAACCTGAGGCATAAATTGTTGCCCAGATGGATCCAATCAAATTTGGTTCCTTCAGAGGGACTGCTGTGGATATCAGTGCTTTGGATCCAGCTTTGGATCAGTCCTTGGTACTGCTTTGGATCCAGTGCTTTGGAGCAGTGCTTTGGATACCTGACCGTCGTTATGACCTGAGAATAGCTCTTCTCTAGTGTTCCCTTCCTTGGTCCGCTTTGTTAATCTAGCCAGTTTACTTTTCACCAGTCTGCACTGCTCCAGAGGGCCTTCAAAGTGTCCACACTGTTGCAAATTAATCACTTCTTTGGGGAAGAGTTTCAGTGCTCTATTTTTTTTTCTTCTCCCCCAAGGAAAAATCTTTGAGGCAGAGATCTGTGTGAAGAGGTAGAACAATACCATGCTTCTCTCTGCGTGAAACTTCTGCTTTGGAAGATAAGAAAAACTCACTGGAGCAGAGAGAGGAGTCTTAGGTCTTGCAATTTGTCTCTGCCAGTGTAGAGCTTCTGCTTTCGAAGTAGCAAGGATGCTCGGGATCTAACATTCTCAGTGCTGACAGGCCCAACATGAAGCCCCCAGCCCAGGAACAGGGTTGCCAGAAGGCCGTCCCACCTCCTGACTACTCATGGCTGGAAGCTAACCTCAGCAATGAGAGGGGAAGCAGGAGAAACGCTGGGCTGTCCCTCCTGGGCAAACGCTCCTCCACCTGGGAGCAGAGGGAAAGGGAGCCCTATGTTCCTGGGGCCCCCAGAATGGAGTCTTTCCTTCCTGAAGTGAGTGTTGGTTCTGGTTCTGGTCTTTTGCTGATCTTACTGGGTTTTAGATTTTCCTGAAAAAATGTATTTCTTCAGCTTCCCTCTAGACCATTCTGAAAATTTCAATGGTTACTTAAATTTTTTTCTATAAATTTTTTTCTATCATTGGGGAGAACATTTGTATAAGTCCACACACACACTAGTGTTAGTCAGCCTTGGAACTCCGGGTAGGCTCATAATATTGAATCTTGCATGTTGCACACAATCAATGCAAAAAGAAAAAGTATTAAATCTTTACAAAGTCATCCTCTTTTTGGAGTCTCTATGCATTCTGGATATGTTTGCTTCAAATAAAATACAGATGTCACCAAAAAAAATAATTTGCCACTTACAAACTAACTTTTCTTCTATGAGTCAAAACCAAGTGAGCATTCTTACACTTGAACTAGGCACGGCAATACAAGCGATTTCGTCAAATATGCCACTGCACATTACATGTACTTGGCTACCTCACAGCTCAGCTGGTGCACAGTGGCTGCACAATATCACTAATTGCTTCTTACCCAGTTGGAAAATTAAATGAATCAACTAGTCTAGAGCTGGACTACCTTAATAAAGTCATGATTAAAAATGCTCTGAGGCCAGGGATATAGCTCAGGAGCACAAGCGCCTGCCTGGCAAGCTCAAGGTCCTCAGTTCGATTCCCAGTACTAAAAAAAAAAAAAAGCTCTGAAACTGTAACTGATACATACCAATAACTGGAATGTTGTATGTCTACCGCCTGATTCAAATATTTATAACTTTCTAATCATTACAGTTAATATAAGAAAATGTTTAAAAATATTTTTAACCTTACCATGTTAGGGTCGTAGCCCAGAGAGAACAAGCAAGGCTTTTCTTGTAAAACTGCTTCCTTCCACTTTTCATCTGATACTAAACCAATGTACCAGTCATTTTCATATTCTTCCAGGAAGTCTTTTAGCTCTTTAAAATCTTCTATTGGACCTAAACTTGCTTTATCAACCATTAGTTTCACAGTATATCTGAAAAATGGAAAAGCCACACCATTTTTGAGAATTTTCAAATCAATTCTATAGGTAAAATAGATGTGTTTGATCAATAGTTTTAAGACTGACTTGAAATCATCCAAATTTGAAACCAGCAGTTGAGGGACAGATGAAATAGTAAGAGTGAAGAAACCCAGCCAGCCACATGAAAAACAGCTCCTTTACACAAACAAAAGTAAAGGAAGCAGAAATTAAAGAGTACCGCTGATAAAATTACAATGTATGCTAAGCATTTTTCCATTCGTTGAAGTGAATTAAAAAAAACTAGAACTGAAAAAAAAAATTCCCCCAAAACAACACAAAACATTTTTCTGCCAGTGTCAATGTTACAACTTGTATATAGAATGAGAAGGAGTTACCTGAAGGCTTTCAGAGCTAGCTGGAACAGTTCTGGTTTTACTGTGAGCCAGTCCAAGGCAGTAGACCAGGGCAAAACACCACTGTAAACTCTTAATATATGGCCAGCAGTAGGAGCCACATCGTCTATTCCCAATAAACCAAAATAACAAGTCATTACTGTATGAACATAAAAGTCCTTTAAAACCTTGTCCTTTGCAATCTCTTCCAGTGCAGCTGAGGCCACTGCTTCTGAGTGGAAACATTCTAACTGACTTAAGACGAACTGGTACCAGTCTTCTGGAAAGAGGGAGCTCATCTCTTTCATTTTGGAGCTGGGCATACAGGTAGGCCTCCACTCTTCAGGTAAGCTCACTAAGTGAGAATGCGGAGAACTGAACTCACTGAGAGGGATATAAGCCGTGCTTTGTTCCCTTCCTCTGTCAATAGCTGGGTATCCCAGCAGAACTGCTTTGTACAGATTGTGTTCGGAAATGGTGCCTGTAGGAATATCAGCAACCCTCTGTGAGTCTACTGAGCCTGGAATAGGCAAAGTTGTACCTGGGAAATCTTTCAACCAATTTTTTCCTTTTTTGACTGTTGGCTCATCATCAAAAATATCGTCTGACCAGTCATCGAAAGTTTGTGATTTAATACTGTCTGTGTCTTCCGGGGAATTGGGACGTGGTGATGTGTTCAAAGGAGGAAGTACTACTGGAGATGTTTCCCCTTTACTTTCAGTTTTGTGAACATTCTCCTGCTTACTGGGCCTTTCAGAGCAGTACTGAACGAGGATGAACACAAGCACTTTAATAAGGTCACCTTTGAAACTTTTTAAATTTTCATGAGAGTCAATTATGCCAGATAGGACGATCCTGGCGTCAGAATATAGCTTCACAGGCAAAACAGTACAGGGTGTCAAGACATTCCCAAAGTGTTCATTAAGGGAACATACTTTTGGGCATTCTTGTTCAAAAGCACTTTCAAAAAGTTCATCAACTCTTCGGGCTTCAGCAGTATGACAGGATGTTTCTTGCAATTCTAACCCCTGAAAAGAAAATAAAGAATACTTGAGTTTAAAATTATTTATTACATAGAGAACAGCAACTAGTCTTGTAAATACCCATAGATTCTCATAATAAGGATGACACAATTTCTTTAACTCAAGGGCTACACCTTAAACTTTATGACATTTGATGTTTTGATATTGGATAGGGAGACTAACAGTAATGACTTTGCTATTTTAAGATAATAATATTTCCACTAAAGATAATAATATTTCCGCTAATTTATCCAGATAAATTAGCAGCTCTGCGTGGTGGCGCATGCCTGTAATCCCAGCACTCGGGAGGTTGAGGCAGGAGGATTGTTGCAAGTTCAAGACCAGCCTGGGCTACAAAGTGAGCTCAAGGCCAGACTGAACTGCACAGGGAGACCTTGTCTTATAAAGACAAAATAATAAATAAATAAATAAATAAAATAAAAAATAAATAAACAAAATCAGGTAAATAACTTTATTGAATATGAACATAATTTTAAAAGTATCAATTTGCAAGACTGAATCACACCATAATGTGAAATCAGAATTTGGGCAGAAAAGACAAAGTGGAATTATAAATTATGTACAGTAGTTTTGTATTCTTACTATTCCACTTCATAAGAGACTAAGAGCATTATAGTATCATGTGGAGGTGTCACAATTTAATCATATTCTTATTCAAGTTTTTAAATGATAATAATAATACACATTTACTTATGTAATTACTGTGTCATCCAATTGTAGCATAAACTGCATAAAACAGTGGTTGTTTAGTTACTACTATATTCCCAGTGCTTAAACCAGGACCTGGTACAAAGGAGGTATGTATGCAACAAATAAATGTTGAGTATTATGAATATGTTCTTATGTGAATTTTAAACTTCCTTGGAAGGAATCATTTGAAGAGGACACTGAAGCTCACTATTCACTCTTGTTATTATTAACCTAGTTACTTTTTTTTTTTTCCCCCCACAAAAGTACCAGGGTCTTCAGAACACATTTTTAAAGTCATGGCTTCACCAAGTTGCTTGAATACAACTTGAGTAAGTGACCCTTCCCTTTTTTCAAAGAAAACATTTACAAACCTATTTACTGAGATTAGTTAAGTTTAAGCTCTGCGAAGTTTAAAATACAGTCAGTGTCAGTGAATGGCACAGCCTAAAACAGGGTGGAAAATAAAGGTTGCCATTAAGAGGCATATTTTTTAGCACAAAAGACCAAAATAAGATTCACATTATTATGTATTACTAAATGATACAATTTTGATAGAATAAAATTAAACGATCAACATATCCTTGATCATTTGCGTGGATAATTCTTGGACTTGTACAGGTCAGACTACAGCAGAGATTGTCAAACTTTAGGTAAGTCAGAATCATGGGGAACACTCTTTAAAGCTCACTGATAGATTCACTCTCACCATTTCTGAATTTGTAGGTCCACTTTAAGGTTCATTAACTTTCATTTCAGCCACGCATGCTGGTGCACTGTAATCCCAGCACTCAGGAAGCTGAGGCAGGAGGATCACTGTGAGTTCCAGACCAGCATGGACAACACAGTGAGTTAAAGCCACTCTGAACTACACAGCACGACACTCTCACAAAAAAACCAAAACAAAACAAATTTGTTTTTTTTTACATTTCCTGCTAATGCTACTCCTCTGGGGCCTACACTTTTGAGAACCACTGCTTGAGAGGGACAGGTTTTTGATCAGCACTAATGTCATCAAATCTGTGCTAAGACATAAAACTCACTCATTCATTCATACAACAAATATTTTTTAAAGGCCTGTTCTGTGCCAGGCACTGTGTCAGGCTTTGTTTTACTCCTAAATGAAAACAAGAGGTCCAAGTCCCTGTGACATTAGACAGTAAAGGACAAGGGCAGGCAGTCCTAACACGCACAGTAAATTACTTGGTTTGCCAGAAAGTGTAAGTGCTATGAAAATAAGGAAAAAGTGAGGCAAGCCAAGGCCTGGGCTTGCTGGGGCAGGAATGGGACAGTCATTTTCAATATGCCGGCCACAGGACCAGAGTGAGAAGCGGGTATTTGAGCACAGATGTCAAGGTGGCAAGGGCGTTGGCTGATGTGATTAGCTGAAGGAACAGTGCTGCAGGCAGAGGGAACAGCCAAAAGGCCAGAATGGAGTGAGACGCCAAACAGGGAACAGGGAGCCTGGCTATTTAGGGCCCGGGCTTTTACACTGAAGGAAGGAAGAGATCCACTGTAGGAAGTGATCCACCGAGTACAGAAGTGACATGATCTGAATGGCATTTAAAAAACTGTAGCTGACAACTTATTGTAGGGGAAACTGAGAAACGGAGAGCAATTGAGAAGCTACTGAGATCATCTAAGTAGGAGACGAAGGGAGCTGAAGACAGTGGGTGAAAATGATGGGACACAGGGTCCAGGTGAAGGCAGAGTCAGCAGGATTTCTTGGTAGATGAACATTGGGTGTCGAAATAAAAAAGGAGTCAAACGTGAATCCATTACCATTGGCTCCAGCAACTAGAAATCTGGCACCGTCTCCAAGGATGACTAGGCTCTGTGGCACTGTGATGTGAAGAAAAGGGAAAGAACCATCAAATGACACTGACTAGAAAGAGCTCTGAAGCAGAACAGAGGAGGGAACCCTCTCAAGTGCTGCTCAGAAGTTAAACGAGCTGGGGTTGAGAGCAGCCTGAAGGACTGAGCACTGGGACAGTCAGTGGGGAGCCGGAGCAATTCCGTTGGGATGACAGCATCAGAAACCCAAAGTAAGGGGAAGACATACTGGAAAATGACAAACTGGAGACAATAATCAGCAACTCGAATAAGGTATTTTCCTCTTAAAAGAAGGGCACAAACAGGGTACAGCAATTAGGGGCAGTGAGGTGAGAAGACTTTTTATTAAGCTGAGAATGACTACATATATGATAAAAGAGCTGAAAATGTTACTGATTCCCATTGTTGAGATGCTCAACTAGCCATGGATAAGAACAGGAGTGGAGGGAAAGCCAGCAGGTGTATTTTGGTATATAATTAACACTACTCAGCTATCAGTATGTGGAATATATTGAAATACCTGTCAATACACTTACTGAAATATACCTTAAAAATTGCAAGGTATTTTCACACGCAATTAAAGAACTGCACTATTGTTTGATGCGCACACAACGAGTAAAGCTCTACACACGAACTATAAAAAATACTAGGTAAGATTCACATGGACACTGACCTTCACGTTAATACAGCAGTAAGTATAACCACACTCTAGAATCATTATCCATATTAAACGATCCTGAAAACGGCCCAAGTAATGAGATCCAGGTAAGAGGAGACCTAAAATAAATTAGAAAAGAAGAAATCATTCTTTAAACTTATTTGATTTTGCCATATGATTCTTCAAAATTGAGAACACAACTAGAACTGATTCACAACTCCTTCTACCTCTCATTTGGTCAGTAATGAACAGAAATAACTATTCATTGCATTTCAGGGGCTGTAAATTAAGCACTTCACAAGTTGCAAGAGAAAATGTATTCTGACAATAAATACATTGTGTATGTAAAAGGTTAAATACATGTTAAGTAAGCTGGAAAAAAATGTTTAATATATAAGAATCAATTCCATATTTTTTTCTGGTACCGAGAATCAAACTCAGGACCTTGCACTTGCCAGGCAGGCGCTGTGCCACTGAGCTGTATCTCCAGCCCATTAACTCTACATTGATTTAAGAGATTTAGGATATTTTCAAGTAAATGCATATAAATATGTAACTATTTTCTGGCTTTAAAAATTTACAATCTATAAATATTTTTAAAACTTCATTTTCCTTTCAAAATTGTTACCTCTTGAGAGGTACTCATGTTGACTGCAAACAACCAAAGTTCATTCGTTGTAACTGTGTCCAGAATTCACTATATTAATATAACTAGAGCATAATTTCCCTGTTAACAAACATTTCAGATGTTTCTGATTTTCACTAGTATAAGTAATGTCACACAAGTCATCTGTGTGCAAGTCCGATTGTATAACACACTGTGCAGAGTAACTGCATAGCAGGACCAAGTGTTACACTTTCAAAGGTCCACACACAGGATGGGCCTTGGCAGCCATGAGGAACCACTCCCCTGACCAAGCCTCTCTGAGTGCCTGTTTGTGCAGACAATGCAGGAGGTGGTGAACATCAACTTTCTTTTGAGACCCTTGATAATGGAATATACTAGAAAAAGAGGGCCTCTGCCTAACCAGCTGGTTTTCTCTCTTTATAGATCTATGCTTGTATCTACTTGAAATGAACTCATTATCTATGAAAACAGTTTTAAATATGTTTCAATCACCTTAATGAAACTTTCCTAGTGTATTTTTATTTTAAACCCTTATTTACCTCAAAAAAGGTAGAGGAGATATTGTTCTATTTCAGATACAATCTCTCTGCTTACACATCAAAGTATTAGAACCTGTTTCCTGACTGGAGAAAAAGACTGCTTATCTGTGTGCTCATTTTTTGGACCTTGCGTTCGTAAGGATTTCTGAAGCACACTCCGCTGACTTACCGAAACTTCCGGCCGCCATCGCAGCCTGCAGGATAGCAGTCAACCTGGGGACCATCTGCTCGTAGTACACAGTATCCGCACACACACATGCCGCAGTGCCCACAGCTCCTGGCCAACTCTGAGTAGGTCTGGGGAAACCCACCAGGAACACAGGAAGGGTGAAGAGCGGGAGCAAGGGAGAGGACAGCAGTGTAGAAAAAGCTATGATGACCAACACAAATGGAAAGAAGATAACATTGAGTGTGCACAAAGCAGCAGTTGTTGTTCGATGTTGTTTTTTCTCCATCCATGACGCCAAAAGTACGGTCATAGCAAACTGCAACTTAGAGATGAACTGAATCAGACGGTCTCGTATGATACCAACCTATAGAGACAAAAATGATTGTTACCTACTCCCAAGTGCTTTTCATGAATTTTCAAAATCACATAAGGAAACTCAAATAATTTTGTTATTGTCCAAATGTTTTTGAGGAAATAGCCCTGTGATTCTTTTTCTTTGTTTTGTTTGCTTGTTTGTTTTCTGTAGTACTCGAAGAACCCAAGGCGTTCACACTCACCTACTTCCCCAGTCCTTTATTTTCTCACTAAGTCACTAAGTTGCTCAGGCAAGACTAGATCCTGTGATCTTCCTGCCTCAGCCTCCCAGAGTGCTAGGGTTATAGGTATGTACCACAATGCCCAACTTATACGTACTTCTTCATTATAGGACTTGTCATTTGTTTGATACTTGACACACAGACTAGAACGTGTCAGTGTTAACTTCCTCCTGACTTGATTTTCTTATTAGCCAAAACAATTTGGTCTGTGTCTTGTCTCCAGCACCAGTACCAGTGAGTACAAGGTACCACTCTATTTATATGGCAATGCAAGGGTCTCAGGATCATCCACACAGTCGTGAAAAAGAAGGGTAAACTGGAGAACTCACACTTTCCAACTTCAAAAGATACTACAATGCTACTATAAAATCAAACAGTGTGGTACTATCATAAAAACAGACATATGGATGAATAAAAAGAACTGAAAGTATTCAAAAAATAAATCCTAATTTCAGTTTTGAATAATGGTGGCAAGGAAAGTCACTGGGGCAGGATAGTCTTTTCAATAAAAGGATAACTGTATGCCCATATGCCAAAGAATAAATTTGGAACTCTGCCTCACACCATATATAAGTTAACTCAAAGGTGATCATAGATCCACATGCGAAGTTGAAACTACAAACCCACTGAGGCAAATACAATAAATCTTCATGATCTTTAAGGAAATACTGTTTCTTAGGACACCAAGAACAGAAGCAATAAAAGAAAAATGAGAAAATTAAAAAATTTTTTGGTTCAGAGGATATTTTGCAGAAAATGAAAAGGTAACCTACAAAATAAGAGAAACATGTTTACATATTTTAAGTGTATCTCAAGGAACTTGTCTCTAGAATTATACTCTTGCAAATTAACAATAAAAAAAACCAAAACAGTCCAAATAAAAATAAAGGATTTCAGTAGGTATTTCTCCAAAAAAATATATGAATGGCCAGTGAATGCATGAAAAAATGCATTAGCAATCAGAGAAAGGCAAACAAAAATGCGAGACAATAGTTAATACCTATCAGTACCACAAGAATGAAAACGGTACTTGTTATGGTTTGTGTCTGGGTGTCCCCCCACAGCCTCATGTGGTCATGGGGCAGGCTTTTAGAGTTTGATTGATTATGGGTGTGAGAGCTACACCTGCTCTGAGGTGGATAGTTTGCATATGTAAGGGAGAGGAAGAGGCTGCTTGGGGCCATTCCTCCCTTTTGGTGCTTTTTGCTTTTGCTGTGTTCTGCCACCACGAGCTGTAGCCCTCTGCCATGTGCCACTCTGTTTGTAACCTGCCAAGTATGGACTGAAACCTCCACGAAGTGTAAGCGAAATAAACCTTTCCTTCCTTAATTTTGGGTGTCAGGTATTTTGTCCCAGCAACGAGAGAAAAGTAACCAAGACAGTACTAATGAGTGCTGATGAAGATGTAGAGCAACTAGAATGCTGACTACATACAGTGCTAATGGGACTATAAAATGCTATACTGCTTTGCAAAATAGTTTTATAGTACCTCAAGGAGTTAAACAAAGAAATACCCAAGGGAAATAAAAACACACATCCATATAAAACCATGCACACAAATGTGTACAGTAATACTCTCAGCCGTGAAAAGAGAAAACAACGTAAATACATGCTACAACACAAGTGAACATTATGAACACAGATGTGAAAGAAACCAGATGGAAAAGACCACATATCTGTTAATCCATCTAGGTGAAATGTCCAGAAGGAGCAAATCTTTAGACTCAGAAAGTGATAAGTGGTTGCTGAGTCTGGCATGGTTACAAGCAAGATGGAGAGTGGGAATGGTGAATGATCACTAACATATGTGAGGTTTCTTTGGGGGATGTTGAAAACATTCTCAGGTTGTGGCGGTGGCTACAAAATTCTGAATATCTACCACTGAAAAGTGTACTTGAACGGGTGAATTCTGTGGTATGTGAATATCACTCAAGTTGTTCAAAATAAACTTACCAATAAGAGTCTCATTCCTGTATTTAGGTTCCTGTTCCACCAGAAGTCTGTACTGGAGATCAGTAAGTGAACTGCTGATACAATGGCTGTCTCCAGTACAGCGTTTTCTGTATTCTGCCACACCTGCAGTAGACAAATGACCTACTTTTATCAAGTAGAATACGACAAACCGCTAGAGTTAAACAAAAATCAGAATCACACTTAGCAAACCAAAAATATTACGAAGTACCCATTAGGATTACCATTCGAAAGGCTCTTGTGAATCCAATGGAGACAGACACAGAGTGGAGCCTCTGTAAGGAATCATCCAAGGAAAGAAATGCTATCAGAGCAAAAGGTGACACTAAAATCAAAGAAGGATACAACTTTAGTCAAGGAAAAGATTCCCTTTTTAAGCCACATTTTATTTTGGCAAATAAGAGTTTTTATTAGCATAATAGCAATTTTTTATTAGTATAATTAGCAATTACCTAAAAACCTAATAAACAAGACAAAGAATAAATGTTTGCATGCAGCGTAAAAGCATTATATTTATGAACGCTTGAGAGATACGGCTTGCAATACAAGGTGCTAGAATTTATCACCGTACCTAGAGTTAGCAAAATCCGTCTGACAACACCGACCTTCAGGAGCTTTGCTTGCTTCCCTAGGAATACAGTCACAGATCGCACATCCTTTGGATAGAAAGGGTTTCGGAAAATTCCCAAGATATAGATGCTTTGAATTTCTCTAAGTATCCACAGTGCTATGAGTAACATCACCAAAATGCAGCCAACGATAGCCTGGGAACTGCTTTTGGAAGTCTGCGAGAATCCCACAAAGTGGTGCAGCAGGCTGGCTTCCAGGAGAGCCAAGGCTAACACAGTGACATGCTGGAGGAACTCCTGCCATGGAAACCGTCTTGCTGAAGCCCTGCATGAAGTCTGAGCTTCTCTTCCTGCTCTGTTTCTGCTCATGCTGTGTTTGAAGACAAAACTTACATCACTTAGGTTAAGACTCAGTAAGAACCCAAGTCCAGTCATGAAAAGAACCACACCAACAGTGCTGGGAATAAAATATGATGCTACAGCTGTTCCAGCAGAAATGATGAACATTACTAATAGCCTGCAGAGGAAAGAAAAAAAAAGATGTCCTTCAAAGGAAAAGGGTTCTCCGAGAAGTAGTGCCGTATTACAGTGATTCTTTTTAAATTACCGTAGGTGTGTTGACATGGAGGAACCTCCAAGGCCAAACTCTAAAACCTGCTCCACTGCCCACAAGAAAAGAGCGTCAGGCGGGGGCAGAGTCCCAAGTGCCCACAGGAAGGGTAGAAATACAAACAGGATGTGCAGAATCTGATTCGTGTGCTGGAGAGCTGGTGTATCTTTAATAAGCCTACGAGAGAAAGATAGCATTTAAATCATACAAAATAGTATAGAGAAGAGGATCTTTCTGGCAAAAAAATAAAACAAAACCACACATGCCCCCCAAATAAAGACCACAGAGAAAGTTCTAATCCCGATTTGTAAAGACTCCACACATACTGTGACCACTGTCCCTCCCCTAAACCAGCAACCATCTCTACTCAATTGTGAACAAGTTTAGCACTTAGAGAGAGAACATCCAGATTCAAACAAGAAAATGGGAAAGAAATAACTAAAAGCCATCACTGGCTAACGATAAAATTGAATGTAGGGATTTGTAAAACTGAACAACTAAATTATTTCTCCTGTAAATCTAATGTACATTGGCTGAGCTGTACCAATGATTCTGTAGTGTTCAGAACTTCGTAATTTAAAACTGCAAGTCACTGTGGAAAACTCGAGCCTTAGTAACATTCATACATTAGTAGTTTGCACAGGAAAAGCTCTTCCTCTCTACTGCACGGTTCTGCTAATTTTAAGCATCTGAAGTCAGCACAGGTAACAACTGCAGGAACAAGTCAGGTTATAACTGAATCTCTCTGGGTTACCCTGAAACATAACTAGCATCTATCCTGTGTCGTATAAGCAATGGCCTGGTTTGAGAACATGAAGTTGTAGAACAAAATTTTCTCACAGAGTAGGAGCTGCCTCTCCCTTAGCAAAGAAACTCATACTTGGCATAATACTTCCAGTTAAATATATTATTAATTTGAATGATAATTTAAGTTTTTAAATTAATAAACCTTTAAAACATAATAAAATAAACATTATGAACAATTTACTAAGTGTTTACACAACAGCTAAGCAAACACTGTATCTAGAGACCAACACATGAGTATTTACGGACAATGAAAGACTTTCAAAAGACAAAACTAAAGTTCAAAAATTATAGCCCAATTGCACTGTACTTGAATAGCTGTGCTGCTAGGAATCAAAGTAAAGAAAAAAGAAAACTTCTGCAGTGTTAACCCACTTAAGTGAATGTCACAGCCCTAAAACAAAAACGATAGCACCAGTCTGTACAATAATGATATAAAGGATGTCTGCATCATGCAGGCCTCTGCTCATCAAATTCCTATAAGCATAGAACTAATAGAACACAAGGTTAACAAGGTAATGAGAAACTAAGGGCACAGCATTTTCTGCAGAGTCATTTTAAAATAAAATTCAAAACATTCCAGTAAAGCAAACATTCAATAAAAAAGAAAATCAAACCACACATAAGCAACAGGAAGGTCAAGGAAAACATGCAGATTTCTATAGTTTTTTTTTTTTTTAAAAGACAATACTCCTCTTGGAAATATACTCAGGGAAGGATATTATGTATGAAAAGAGTGTAGAGTCTGAAAATCTCTTCAGCTTTCACATCCTCTGAAATAAAACTAAGAAACCATCTGATATTTCTGACAACTATCCAGATTTGAAGAATACATCAACTTCATATTTTTGGTTGTATTATCACATCTACTATATGAGGATCAATTCTTTATTATTTTGTTATTTATAAGGTAAATTACTCTAAAATGAGAGATAGTTTTCCTACATACATTTGTCAATTTCTTCCTTGAAAATAGATGTAGGGACAGCCTTTGACTTCTTTTAGTCACAAGAGAAAAAAAGTCTGTAATTATCAATCTTTAAATATTAAAATAATATATTAAATCCAGGAAGAACTCAGGAAGAAACCATCTATGCAATTTCATTAAGCAATGAGAAATCAGAAAGTCAGGGTATCCAAATTAACTGTACTTTTATATACAATTAAAGAACTCAGAATACAATTGTAGATACAAAAATATATTACAGCAGATATTTAATTTCTCATTTTAAAATTAACAAATAGTATCTGAAAAATTTCTATTCTAAAACTATATCTTATAAAAATTTAAATCTTTAAAACTGAATACACAGACACCTAAACATAATTTTACTGCTAATTTTTCAAACTCAAGCATTTAATCATAATATATAGTTAATATGTGGTGGTGAAATTAAGAAACCAATTGTACATAAATTTCATATAAATTTTTCCCTTACATATTTGACTGTATGAAAAAATACATGGTTTCTATATTGTCCCCTGGTCCATAAATGTAGTTCAAGTAGAAGAGATTAGAAGAAATAGTTAACACACACTCAAGAAGACTGTGTGTATAACATAAGTATGCAAAGTAAGTATTTTAACAGGTCATGTCTTAGCTTGGGCTACCATAACAAAATACCACATACCGGGTGCTTTAAACAACAGAAGTTTATTTTCTTATGGTTCAGCAGGCTGGAAGTCCAAGATGAGGGTTCCAGCAAGGCCAGTGTCTGGTGAGGGCCCTCTTCCTGATTTACAGATGGCTGCCTTGCTGTGTTTTCACATGGCAGAGAGACAGAGATTGAGCTATCTTGGTTTTTTTCTTATAAGGGAACTAATCCATCAGACCAGGTCCCACCTTCATGACCTAACACCTCTCAAAGATCCTTTTTTTTGTGGCTTCCACCAGAGAATTTGGAAGGATATAATTTAGTCTGTGACATTCTGTCCCTGCCTTAACCAAACTCCAAGGTTCTTTACAGATTCTAGCATTAACTTTAAAGTTATCTAAATATCACCTAAGTCAGACATGGGTGAGACTTAAAGAGTCCATTCTAAGGTGAAATCCTCTCCAGCTGTGTACCTGTGAAAATAGGCAAGTATTGTCCTTCCAAAATACAGTACCATGATGGGGCGTGAAATAGGGAACATTCCCTCTACAAGTGAGGAACAGGACAAAAAGGAGTGATGGGTCCAAGGAAGTCCAAAACCTAGCAAAACAAATTCCATTTGATCTTAAAACTGAGGAATAATGCTTTCTGCTTCTGTCCTCTACAGCCCTGGAGTTGCTGTCACCTGTACAGCTCTAGTGTCACCTCCACAGCTCTAGGCAGTGGTCCTGCCCCCAAGGCTTTAGGTAGAGGTGATAAGACCCCGTGAAACAGGTGGTGGCCTGATGACCTCTGATATCACCTTGGGCATCATCTTCCTTGTTCCTGGACACTTGTTTAGTTCTATCATCCTGTGTCATCAAATACAAGAAGTTCAATGGTCTTCTTTCATTCTATCGCATCTCCATTCCTTTCATTTCAACTGGCAGTATTTCTGCTCACATAATTCCTTAAGCACTTTATTAAACAACAGGCCAGCAACACTCAGGGTGTTCTGATCAGAATATCCCTTCTTATGCTTGTTTCAGAAAATAGGTTGGGAATTTTACAAATTTTCTTTTTTGTTGTTTTTTTTTGTGTGTGTGTGTTTTTTTTTTTTTTTTGAGATAGGCTCTTGCCCTGAACTCGCTGTGTAGGCCAGCCTCAAACTCACAGCATTCCTCCTGCCTCAGCCTCTCAAGTGCTGGGATTATAGGTATGCACCACCACACCTGACTGGGAATTTTACAAATTTTCAAGTTCTAGATGCTTTTTTTTTTTTTTACAATTTCTTGTTGATCTCTGCCCTTCTGCATTTAGGAATCAAGCTGTTCCATCAACATTTTGCTTCAAAATTTCCATAACTATCCAATTTTATCACTTTAATTTCTACCATCTAAGAAGTGCAAAAACACAGTTTAGGAAGTTCTTTACCACTTTACAACAGAAGTTACCCTTCTCCCACAATCCAATAATATGTTCCTCATTTCCATCTGAGATCTCATCAGAATTAGCCTTACTGTCTCTGTTTCTAGTATGAATATCAAGTATCTTCCACCTTCTATCTATTACCTGGTCCTAAAGCCACTCCACATTTTTAGGCATTTATTGCAGTGTCCCATTTCTCTGTACTAAAATCTTGGGCTGACAAAACAAAATACCATACACTGGGTGACTTTTATTTATTTTCTCACATTTCTGGAGACTGTAAGTCCAAGACCAGGCTGCCAGTATAGTCAGGCTTTGGTGAGGGCCCTCTTCTAGGTCTACAAATGGCTGCCTTCTTGCTGCATCTTCATATGGTGGACAGAGAAAGATCACATTCTCTTGTTTCTCTTATAAGGGCATGAATCCCAGTAGAGTAGGGCCCCATCTTCAAGACCTAATTATCTCCCAAGGCTCTATCTCCAGGTAATATCACATTCGGGTTTAGCAATTCAACATAACAATTTGGCAGTGAGGAAACAGAAGCACAAACGTTCAGTTCATAACATGCCTATACATTTATACCTGGACAGTAACCTGGGAAAGAGAAAGCTGCAATCTACAGAAAAGGAGAAAGAAAAGTCAGATTTAGAAAACTATGCAAAATTTGTTATAAACATTTTGTAGATAAGTATGCTTATAGGTATCTTTTGAAAGATTTTCTATTTTTTCTATAACTAAAGTCAATATTCTATATATGTTAGTATAATAAAATCAGAAACAGTTTTTCATTCATCTTAAATTCACTCAATCTATAAGTAATATATACATTTTAAATTACTCCTATCTGTCCAGGAAAGGAAGTTGTTTTCACAGGTTTAGCCAGGTTATAGTGTACACATTTTCACAGTTCTTTAAAGTAATACACAATATTGAAAAATTGTTCTTTTATCTTAAAAAGGGTAACTTTTTTGCTCTTCAATAGAATTTAACTGGTTTTATAGTATGAATATATCAGAGATCAGTACTAAAAAATTAATTACTAAAATAAGCTATCATCCAATGACTTGCTCTTCAAGATTTTTAATCCACAAATTAATTTGTTTTAAAAAACACTAATGAGAGTATTTACCAGATACATTTAAAAACAAAGCTAGTTATGAAGTATTTAGTAGGTTTTTTACCTGTGTGCGAGGTCCACAGAAACAAAGAAAAAAATATAAAGAGGTCTCATAAGAGGAGTGATTTCATAGGTATCCTGGGTTTGGAAAGTTGCAGTCTCTATAGGTGTGTTTACAATTAATGAATATTCTCCTATACACAGTGTTATCCACCCAAAGATAAATAATGGAGCAGTGCCTCCTGCACAGCCATACAGCAAGGTTATTCTACTTGGGAGCAGATACCACGTTCCAAGACCACACAGCAATCCAGCAAGAACAGAATGAAAAACTGTATTGGCTACATATTTCTTGCCCGGAATTAGAAATTTGATAGTCTCAGCACCCGCACAACTTGTAAATTCATGTTCATCTTCTTCTGCTAAGATATCCGTGGTTAATATTCTTTCCACTGTCACTGATTTGGTTTTGGCCTTTACACTTGTGAACTGGATGACAAGTGCAGCGACAAGCATCAGTCCCCCTGAAAGTGCCGCTGTATAGTAGTCTTTTAGGACATTTAGTTGGTATAAAAGTGTTCCTATTCCTCCTAGAACCCATGGCATCAGAAAAAGGATAATTTGATTAACATATATGTAAGGAGGGGCCCAATACCCTAATCTGAGTCGAGGGCCTCCAAGAATAGTTTGTGGAAGGCGCTTCAGAAAGAAGTCCTGCTTGTAATCATTCAGTAGAGGCACATCTGGGCTCATCCTTCTCACTGAAGTATTCTCACAGTCACATCCTTTTCCGTAACCAGTAGTCTCTAAGAAAAAGGAAAAGAAGGCACTATTTGAAAATAGCACACTTGAACCCTGGAAGAAAAAAACCCACACTTCTATTTCAGCTCCTTAGTACTTTTAAGGACAGGACTTCTAACTTCACCTCTGTAGCTAACACATACTTGCTGCCAAGTTGCTGACTTTTAAAAGTCAAAATAAATTTGCAAAGTTATTTTTAAAATCACATGCTTTATTAATTTGTCTACAACCCCATATCTGAAATTAGACCTTAACTCGTATTTTTAGATTGTGAGGCCAAAGGTTCAAAAAGTTGCTACTACTGTCAATTAAAATCTGCCAGTATTTTGGACATTTCTCAGTGAGTTTTTGTTGACTTCAGAGTAAATGTTAAGCTTTGTTATGACCACACCCCCCTGCTATAACACAAGTGGCCACAGACCATACAATATGTAAATTAACATGATGGTTATAGTTCAATAAAACTTTATAATAATTATCCAAATAGGCTATGAGCCAGATTGACCCTGAAGGCCATCATTTGCCAACCCCCACACTAGAAGGTAGGATTATTATTTATAATTCTGTTGAGTTGAATGGAAATAAAAGTGGAAAAATGGAAATACTGTTACTCATATCACTTAATAGTAAATTTGGAATTTTCCAACCATTTCAAAAGTAAATACTGCTAAAATAAGCAGCATTTCAATAAAAATCCATATAACCATTTGCAGATTATTTAGTAGTAAGAATAAAGTGAAACTTAAAAGATTTTAGGTGTCACAGCAAACACTTAATTTTATTAGCTATGTTACCATTAGAAGTAACTTCATACTTCCATTTTTAGCCTTGCTGTTGGCAGTTTCCAAAATCTACTAGTGTTGCAGGAAAAAGTGAAGCAACAGTAGCCAGGAGCTCAGGAAAAGAAAGGAAACTTTATTGACGCTTTCAGAACCCAGAGAAGTAATCTCTGAAATTTGAGGTGGTGATTACAGAAAGCCTGTGTTATTTATAGGGTGGTAGATAGAAGTTACAAGAATGAGATAAGCTTTTAGCTGAAGGTTATGGTACAATAGGTATCTGTGGTGAGCATAGCTGTATGTAGCAAAGTTGTTTTTAGCACATTCATGGAAGTTTCAATTTGATGACAAATCATATGATTTAGCTGAATTCACTGAACACAATGGATCCAGCTTTACTGAACAAAATAGCTGCAGTTAGGTCAGGATTTCTGCTTCATTCCCCACTTTGAGGGTATCACCATTTGAGTCTATTAGGGACTGTTGAGTGTTGGTAGGGCTTGAGTACATCAAACTCAGATAACCTCTCAGAAGGAGAGGGGGTCTCTCCCGGAGAGCTGTCTCAATTAACCTCTGAATTAAACTACCTGAACAGGGAGGGAATTATACAGCAACCCGTAAGAATGAGAATTCTGATAGCAATGATCAGGGAAGTAAGTACTAAGGCCATTAAACCCTTTTACTTGTCAAACCACTATTTCAGTAAACTTGTAAAAGGGGTCATGAACTCCAGCATTTTTGGTTAGTTCTTTGGACAGGGTTGTTAGGCCTTGGAGGGCTTTGGTAATTGTGCCATCAGGGGTAGTCTTGTTTGGCATAAAAGTACAGCATTAGCTTCCTATCATAACAGACACTACCTTTTTCTGTTAGAATCATATCCAGAGCAAGTCCATTTTTTCAGGCCATCTGGCTGGTGGGCCCCAGGTATTTAGCTAGTTTCTTAAGAGCATCCCAGATGTAATGTACAAAACTTTGTTGATTATAGTAAACATAGTTTATCCAATCTTCATCTTTGTTGATAACGACCCACCAGAACAGTGAACTTTTAAATCCTGCAGCTACTTGATTTCAGGTTTTAAATTCACTGGGGACCCCTCATGGGACCCCAATTGCATCAATGCAGATAGTAGGTTCAAAGGAACCTGGGGCTGATTTATTGAGTGGCATTTCCCAGATGCATGGGAAGGATCAGGAGGACATTTATCTCTGAGTAACTGTAAAGTAAATAACTAATTGGACTGGGGCACCGGTTCCAGTCCAGCCATTGGGAAGGGTCGGGCACAGAGGTCTGTTACTTAACCACCAGATATTTCCATGTGGAGTAGTGAGATCCATAGCCCTGAGTTAAGGCTAAGTCAGTGAGGTTTCTAGGGGATGTACATCTTGGAGTGTTGCCTACATTGGAGCCAGTGTTTTTAGTTCCTCTGATGCATGTGTTGAACTGCTGTTTGGTTTGGGTGGCCTAACTGTGTGAAGAGGCTGACAGGGTAGAGAGATACCAGAAAGAGCAGAGGTAGAATCTGACAGACCCAGTTTAGTTCCCCAGGTTCAGGACTGGAAAAAAAGTGATAAGGCAATTCATCCCTTCAGGGTTATGTGTTTCCCTACTGTCCCTGGGAACAGCTAGAGTAACCAATCCCAAGACTAACAATAAGTATAGCAGTACACACATGCATTTTTCTAGTTTTCCCAGTTGGCAGGTGCGACAGTCCAGGGTCCTAGGAAGAAGGGGGACAGCCAGTAAAACATGCCAAGGTTGGCGTCCTCAGGTTTCAGCCTTGCACACGACTGTCAGCATCCAGGTGTGACAGGAGCAGGGCTTGGAGTTCTCTGGCGATGGAGGGTGGTCTTCAAGAGGTGGTCTGGATCAGGTGATAGCTCCCCATCCTCAGGGTGGGCTCTCAGTGTGGGTGTGATGTATCCAAGGCTGGATCTCTGCAACTTTAACCGCTGTGGGGGTGAATTCAATGGGCCCAGGTGAGCATTAAACACAAAGAAAGGCCACAGGAAGATGGTCAGTCATGGGGCTTTGGTTTCATGGCAGAACTTGCTAAAGTTGTCTTTAAGGTCTGACTGATCTGTTTTACCTTTTTAGAGCTCTGAAGGTGATATGCAGTATGCAGGTTTCATTTCATTTGGAGCAGTTTAGTGAGGTTCTGAATTATTTCTGCCACAAAGGCTGGGCTACTGTCACTTCCTATGGACAGAGGGAGTCAATATCTGGGAATAATTTCTTGGAGCAATGCTTGATTGACCTTGGAGGAATTTGCTGTTTGGCTGGGGAAAACTTTTATTCAACCAGAGAACATACAGACTGGTACCAGAAAATATCTGTATTCTTTGTTGGGTTTGACTTCTGTGAAATCTATTTGTATATCTTCAAAAGGTGATGTTCCAGTCACTTGGCTCCCCAGAGGAAGTTCAGGCCTCTGAGTCAGATTACTTTGAGCACAGATCTGGCATCATTAGGTAGACAGTGGAGCAGATGCTGGCCAACTGTGGGATGCAACAGTAGCAACCTAGGAGCTCTTTCATGGCTTTTTTTCCTCCATGAGTTAGATTGTGGTGTTTTTGAACCCAGGTATAAGCTCTCTTTGTGGGATAATCGTTTATCCATCCTGGAGTGTCCACCAGGGACTGGGACCCTTAGGGGCTGGCTCTTGTTTTGTCTGGTGATCTTCTTCCTTTGTATATGCAGGGAATTGATTTTTTATTACCACTACAGTGTCAGGAGAAACATCCATTAGAAGTTCTAGGTTTGCTTGTATGGTGTTTTTGTCCCAGAATGTTTCTTCAGCAGCCACGTTTGTAATTTTATCTGGTTTACTGTTTTCTAAAACAGATGAGACTTTTGACCTTTTGATGTCCCTGCCAGTGGATGACTGTCACTTTGGCAGGTTTTCAGACAGCAGCAAGAAGCAGTAGAAGACCTTCTTTGTTTTAATGATTTTTTTTCTGCTGTGAGTAATCTTTTCTCTAGATATTTATCATTTTGTAAATATGAACTGTGACAAACACATATATAGTCTGTGTAGATGCTGACCTTTTTGTTTTCAGACCAATTGAGAGCCTGTATAAGGGCCTATAGTTAAGCTCATTGTGCAGACCATCTTTGCGGGAAAGCTTTGGTCAAAATAACTTCATCCAAGGAGATGATAGCATATGTAGACTGTCTGACTCCTTTGCTATGAGTTACTTCCATCCATAAACAGGGTGTACTCAGCATCTGTCAGGGGAGTCCATCTTAAGTCTGTTTTTTTTTTTTGGTACCAGGAATTGAGTTTAGGACCTTGTGCTTACCAGGCAGATGCTGTGCCACTGAGTTGTATCCCCACCCTTATCCATCAAGTCTGGTCAGCTTGAGAAGAGCTCACTGGTTAGTGCCAGGCAGTCATAGTCTGGAGGACCCAGCTTGGTGGGCAGGTATGTAGCAGGATGGAGTGGTTTTACCAACGTAAGTGTCACGCAAATATTTTCACACAAGGGACCTGATTACTGGAGAGCCAGCTATGTCCAGTTATTTAGGAGGTCCAGTACAGCATGTGGCACTTGGATGGTTAGGTCCTGGCCTAAGGAGAGCTTGTCAGCTTTCTTGATCAAAAGGACAGTGGCTGTTGGAGTGCAGAGGCAATGGGGCCAGCCCTTAAGTGACTGGATCCAAGTGTTTGGACAGGTAGACCACTAGGTGCTTCCAGGGGCTGACAATTCAAGTAAGCATATTTAAAGTCACATGTCATTTATCAACAAACAAGTTGAATGGTTGAGTTATATCTGGAATTCCCAAGGCTGGGGCTGTAGAGAGGGTCTTTTAAATGTCACTGAAGGCTTTTTCTTATTTTGAGTTTCAGCTGAAGATGTCAGAGTCTTTTCCAGACAAGGTATTGCATAGGGGCCTTGCTTTTTCTGTGAACCCAGGGATCCAGATTCTGCAGAAGCCAGCAGCTCTAAGGAATTTTTTGGAGTTTCTTTCTTGTGGCTGGGACTAAGACAAAGCAGATGACCTCTCTTTTTTTCTGGTTCAGGGGCACGTTGTCCCTGACTTACATCAAATATGATATCTTTTTTTTTTTTTGGTACCAGGAATCAAACTCAGGACCTTGTTTTTGCCAGGTAGGCACTAGTGTCACTGAGCTATATGCCTGGCCCATATCTGACTTTTTGTTTGCAGGTCTTTGCCTTTTCCCAAGACACTTTGTAGCCAGTTTCTGTCAGATGTTGTAGCAGAG